ATGCTGCATGCCCGGGGTGAGGTGTAGGGAGCGCCCAGACCTAGGGAGCTTGGCAGAGGGGTGGGGCGGGTGGGGTGGGAGGAGGGGGCTGAGGACATCGGGGTGGTCGCGGTGGTCACGGGGATGGGGTCCCACTGATCTGTGTCGTCTTAGCAGTAGTTGTGTGAAAGCCAGAATAAAAGCCAAATTCTGTGTGTCGGCCGAGTGTGCATTTGAGGTGTGTGTGTGTGTGTGTGTGTGTGTGTGTGTGAGCTCGAGTGTATAAGGCATGCGCCTGGGCATTTACCTCACCATCCCTGGGCTGCTTGGGGAAAGCTAAGTATCGTTGTTGCTGAGATAATTAACGCTTACTAAGTGCATATGTTCAGTGTGGTTCCCATTATTTCATCATGGACCCCGTGATGCACAGGCTCACACACAACAGAATTTTTTGCTCACGTCATAGTCCGGGATGGGTGTTTCAGGTTGGCAGGTAACCTCCATATGGTGATTTGGGGACCCAGGCCATCCTGTAAGCCTTTTGGCATTCACATGGTCATGGCTGGGTGTCCATGGCCTGGGTTCTGCCAGAGGACGAGGAAAGAGAGCCTGGACAGGTACACATGTTCTCTTAGAAGCCCCAGCCTGGAGGGGGCACATAGTGCTTCCACTTACGTCCCTTTGCTGAGAGATTAGTCACATGGCCACAGCCTGCTGCAAGGGAGTCTGGGAAAGGCGGTCTAACCAAGTGCCCAGAAAATGGTTTGTGGAAGACAGCCCGTGCTCTCTGCCACTTCATCCAAGAACCTTCACAAAGAGGACTTTAATTATAATCACAGCTCCGCTTCCTGAGTGCTTCCTGGGTGCCAAGTGCCAGTCCAAGAGCTTTATGTATATTGACTTAGAGAAGTTGTGCATCTAGGAACTTACAAAAATAGAACTTTAATTATAATTACAGCTGCCATTTTCCCAGCACTTACAGAGTGCTGCATTTTATTTACATGAGATCATCGGGTCCTTAGAATAACTGCGAGGTAGGGACTGTGATCCATTAATTCACTTCACAAATATCTTTTGAATACTTGCTGTGTGCTAAGCATTGGGAACACACCAGTGAATAAAATAAAATCCTTGTCCTCGTGGAGCTTACGTGGAGGTGGGAGGGGGCCACCGGTGGGGACAGATAGTAAACAAAAAGTAAGCAAGAAGGATGTGACATATGCTGGATGTAAGTGCTGTGGAGAAAAATAGAGCAGAGAAGGGGGACCAGTTCTGGAAGAGGGTGCAGTTTTAAATAGTGTAGTCCTCCCTGAGGAGGTGACAGAGACCTAAGCAGAGACCTGAGAAAGGGAGGGAGGGAGCCTGGCACACAGGTGGGAAGAGGATCTAGGCGAGGGGGGGTGGGGCAGGAGCCTGCCCCACGTGTCACTTAGGCAAGAGTGGCTGGAGGGGATAAGGGATGGCAGAGCTGGAGGGATGAGGTCAGAGGGGAACAGAGGGTCAGCTTATTACAGCCTTGTGGAAACGCAGGCTCTTGCTCTGAGATGGGAAGTACTAATTCACAGAAGCTTGGCACTGAAGCTCCTTTGAAAATAGAAGCCTAATTATAATAATAGCTACCATTTACTGAGCATTTACTGTGTGCCAAGCTCTGTTCTAAGGCGCTTTACATGTGTTAACTCATAGAAGCTTGGCAACTAAGAACCTTCAAGAATAGAACCTGAATTACCATAATGGCTCACAGCGGACCAGGCCCTGGGCTAAGCGCTTTATATGGACGATCACATCGGATCCTTATGAGGTAGGGACTGTTACTTATTACTCATTCATTCAGCAGTGATTTATTGAATACCTAGGAGATGCAGGCACTATATGGGGAGCTGGGAGTAGAGTGGTGAACACAATGAACAAAAATCCCTGCCTTTGTGGAGGTTATATTATAAAGGGGAAAACAGATACTTGAATATTTAAGTAAAATGTTTAGAACGTTAGAAGGTTATAAGTGCTGTGGAGGAAAAGAGAAGGGGGACGGAGTGGCTTGTGTGTGTGTGTGTGAAGCAGTTTCAAATGGGGTAGCCAGGAAAGGCTTCACTAAAAAGGTGACATCAAAGCAGAGATCTAGAGGAGGAGGAACGGGCCATGTGGCTGTGGGAACAGCAAGTGCAAAGGCCCTGAGGTGGAACCTGCTTGGGATGTTTGTTGAAGAGCACTTGGGGCCACAAGGCTGTTGCTGAGGAAGGCAGGGGGAAGACTGGTGGGAACACAAGAGCAGAGACGGGCAGAGAAAAGCAGAGGGGAAGAGGACCGGGTCACACAGGCCATTAATACCGACTCTGACTTTCTCTCCGAGTGTGTCGTCATCATCATAATTCTTAGAGGCGTAGGGGCTGCTATCACGACCATTTTACAACTGCTACAGCCAGGGCACAGAGAGGTTGAGTAATCTTCTAGAGGTCACACAGCTGGGAAGAAGCAGAGGCAAGGTTTGAATCCAGACAACTAGGGCTAAGGCACCCATTCTTAGCCATTAAGCCACACACCAGAAATGGCTGTCCACAGCCACCATCTGACTTGCAGGAGTGTATTTGGTCTCCAGAGTTATTGAGGTTTTTTTAATCACGTTGGTTACCAACATTTAAAAATGGGCAGGTTTGACACAAAAATGGAAGTTTCTGGCTTCCTTGTGAGATTGATTGCTGAACCCACAATCCCATGGGGCAGTAGTTTGCTGGAGCTGAGTAGGGGTCACCTCCTATTAATGGGGCATTCCCTCCCGCATGCCCAGTCCCCACTGCCTGGCATCTGGGCCCCTTACACCCTGCTTGCCTCACTGATTTATGGTACCTGCCTGGCCCCAAAGAGCATTCACACTGACGCCTGTTACAGGACCTTGACCAAAGCATCTTTCAAAACCCATACTTTTTATCCTAGAAGCTCAGAATCTTATACTTATGCACTCTTTGAGACTTTCATAACCACTATAGCTTAGCATCACTGAATCTCAGAATCATCACAGCAGAAATCCACAGCTCATTAAAACCACATGGATGCATCTTTTTTCCTGGAGCAGCATGCCTAAGCCCTCTTCTGCCGTCAGACGGGGGTTTCTAAGCACAGAAGTAGCAGATTATCCATTCATCATCAGAAGTTCCTAAGGATCACGAGAGACTGGGAATCAAGAGACCTGGTCTCCTGCCAGTGGGGTCATTCAGTTCTTCAGGGCCCAGGCAGGGTATGGAGACCAAGCTAGGAATTCCAGAGGATTCAGTACCGGGAATTGGTTACACAGGTACTAAAACACTGAGAGCACAAACATGGAAAAGTGAAGTAACTGAGAAATTAGTGTCTGCAAGAAGCTCCCACCTCTAGGACTGGGATGCAGAAGGAGAAGCGCAATGACCAGAACCCAGTGGGAGCTTGGTGGGCAGGCCACGCCACGTGTATGGCTGGTGCAGGGGCTGGCTGCCACACGGCTGCTGCTTAAACCCCAAGAGGGGCACGGTGCCTTGTGCTGAGAGTGTAGACAGGTATTGGAGCCCGAACTGCTGCTGGAGGGGTTCCAGCAGGAGCCTAAGGCAAGGTGAGTCCCTTCTCCCCTCTTCCGACCTTCCTTCTTCCCATACCTCTTGTGGGATGAACTTAAGGAAGCCAGCTTTCCAGGGAGTCTGGGAAGCGTAGCTGCAGAAAGCCCAGCCTCATGGAGCAGCGTGGAAGGGCGGGCTGAGGCTGAGAAACAGGTAAACGACTGGGCGCAGTCAAGGAGTTCTTGAGCCTCCACGGTAAGCGCTGTCCTAGGTGCTGGGGATGAAGCAATGAGGGAGACAACCCACTCGCCCTCAGAAGCTTGGGTTCTAGAGGAAGGACACAGATGATGACAGAAACACAGGTGTGATAATTCCAAGTGTTGAAGAGTGCTGGGAATAAACTAAATCAGGCTAAGGGTTGGAGGTGCTGTCCTCTGAAGTGGCAGGTATCGAGACCTGAATAATGAGGAGGAAGCCTTGCAAAGTTCTGGGTAAGAGGGAACAGCAAGTGCAAAGGCTCTGAGGCAGATGCCAGCCTGGCACGTGTGGCTAGAGTGTAGTGAAAAAGACAGAACCGGGAGGGAGTTGAGATTGCTTAGTGGGCTGGGACCTAGTCATTGTTGGGTTTTGTGGGCCTGGGTAAGACCTTTGGATGTTACTTATGGGATGCCGTTGGAGGGTTTTGAATGAGGAGTGATGTAAGCTGACTTACATATACACAGGGGGTGGTCTGTCGTAGAGAGACTGGAAGGGTGGGGGGAGCAGTCGTGGTAGCAGACCCAGCCCCCTGCTGTCTTCTTGCTCTGCCATCCTGTTGTCGCTCTCATGGTCCAAGATGGCTGGATACCATGTCCGCGTTCCAGGCGGGAAGGTCAAGGAAAGGCAGGTTCCTTTCTGAAGCTTGAGGACTCTACCCAGGAATTTAGTCAGAGCTCAGTCACGTGGCCACATCTAGCTGCAAGGAAATCTGGGAAAGGCTGTCTTTGTAGCCACCGTGTGCCTAGCTAATGAGTGGGATATAGCTCACTCTCTACCATACCCATCTCACCTGTGGGCTTTCAGAATATCCCTCAAGTCAGAGTCTGTGATTATTGTATGCAGGGCTGTGATTATTGTATGCAGGGCATCGACCATCGTCTCTAGGGGCAGGGCAGGTAATGCAAGGGAGTAAAACTGGTCCAGTGGAACTCAGCCCAGGGTTGGGTCTTTCAAGAGCTGAAAATAGGATCTTAATGGAATATCTCCCTGTGTTGGCCAAATACGACAGGAAACAGAAGGTATCTCTGTTTGACTCCAAGCCAGTTTCCCCACAGGGCCAGGCCAGGTCTGCCCTGAGCTCCCCACTCCCCATGCCCTTATGTTCTCTGGGAATTCCTGCTCAAAAGCCAGAGTTCCTTGTTTAGACATTTTATTATGGACCTTTTGTTTTCAGATACTACTTCTGTTAGTTTATTCATGCCATCTCACCTACACATACAAAAAATATGCCGTGACCAGAATGGTACATAAAATTATTTCAATGAACAATAAATTATCTGGGGAGGAGGAAGGCAGAGCCATCCAATGCCACGGCCCCACCTTGAGTGGGAAAGGCTGGCAGGGGGTGGGAAGAGACAAGGGCCCAGATTGCAACCCTCACGTGACTCAGTGCAGCCTCTGACTTTGCTGTCCCATCCCCAAAGGCTCAAGTTGCTCCACGTGTGGGACCCATTCGGTGGCATTACAGGCAGGCAACACCTCACTTTCCCTCCCCGATTCAGGCCCAGATCCAGGCACTTGGCTCTTGCAGCCCCATTGCCTCCACCTGGGAAGAATTAATGGTGATAACACAACCTGCAGCTAGTTATGATTTCAAACTATTTCATTGGGAACGAGGAAGATACAAATAACAAATTTCCCTCTTTCTTCCTTTCTCACTATTGTTTGATTTTACTGTTTCCCTGAAGGCTTTTGTGTCCTCCAAAGACGGAAGCTCTAAATGAGCATCTTCTGGGTCCTATTGATCAGGAGTCCTTTGCCTTTCCAGGGAGGAAAGTAAATCCCTCCCATCCCATATCAGATGGGTGTCCCACCAGCCACAGAGCTTCCATTGCCCTAGGGAGGGCTGGAGCCACACTCAGAGCTCCCCCCGGGCATGCCGGATGTAGTGCTGATGCAGCCCTGCTTCCTGGGCAAAGTCCTGCCCGCACTCAGTGCAGGCGAAGGGGCCAGGAAGGGGGTGGGCCTCGTGCGCCTGGCGATGCCGCCTCAGAGAAGCGGCCTGCCCAAAGGTCTTGCCACAGTCAGGACAGGGGAAGGTGGGTGGCGTGGTGGTGGGCGCAGCTGGCTGGGAGGGCCTGGCCGCTGGACCGTGGCTGCGCTGGTGGGTGATCAGGGCCTTGGAGGAGGGGAAGGAGCGGGCGCACGTGAAGCAGATGAAGAGGACCCCCTGCAGCTTCTGGGCCACGAAGTCCGCTGGGTGCTCCCGCTTCATGTGACGCTCCTGGAACTTGGAGTCTGCGAAGGTGATGAGGCAGCGGGTGCACTGCAGGGCCCCCAAGTGGCCTGAGGGACATGAGGAGAGGTTGGGGGAGGCCAGCAGGAGTCTCGAGGGCCTCTCCCAGCCTCAGAATCGCACCAACAGTGAGCATGCAGGGCTTACTATGTGCCAGGTGCTATGCCGGGCCTGGACAGCACTTACTGGACCTGTTTTACGGATGAGCAGACTGAGGCTCAAAAAGGTTAGGTAACTTGCCGACAGTCATGAAGCTAGGAAATGAAATGGCGGAGTCGGGACTGGAACCCAGGGAGGCCGCCCTTCCTACAGAGCCATGTGATTAGAGCACAGCCTCGAGCCAGCCTGCCTGGAACTGACTCCTGGTTCTACCGCTTCCGAGGCAAGTAGAAACGGCGTTTTCATCTGGAAAATGGGGTAATGACCATATCAGTATCTACTTTACAGGGCTGTTGTAAGGAATAAACGAATTAACGTATAAAAAGTGCTTAGAACAGCGCTACACAATGGTTTGCAATAATTATTGTTGAGACAGAAAAGAAGCCCCGCAGCTAGGAGCTGGCCTGGCACTCACAGCTAGGCCTTGGTGTTCTGTTCGGCATAAACAATTTCACAGAACATCGTCAGACGAGGCCATGCTGTGACTGAGACGAATCAAGACAAGACCATGCCGTGATGCCTTCTAAACACAACAAAACGGGAACACTGTCCACGCCACGAGGATGGCCAGACGCCCTCCCCCGGCCCGTCATGGCTGAGACGAGCGCCTGCTGCTGCTTTGCCAGTTACACCTGGAGCCTTGCTTTGCTCCTCCCTCCTTCTAGGTACTGAGCTAGCCAGCCATGTGATTGCCCCTGCTTCCTGGCACCATCCATCCACAGCAAAACCCCTTTCTTGAACCCTTCCCCAAATCACCTACCACAGCCTAAATCCTGTAATAAGTCCTTTCTTATTACTGAGATGCCCCACGGTATGTGTGCTTCCTCAGCGCAGTGAGCAATAAGCCCAACTTGGTCAACTCCAGGTGTGTTCCTGGTGGTCTCTGGCTGGAGAGCATTGACACTGTGGCTTTCAGCGTTATAAATACTTAACCTCTCTTTGCCTCGGTTCCCTCATGTGAAAGTGATAATTACCAATTTCACAGAGTCTGTTAGGAGGACGGAATGAGATAACAAACGTTAAACTCTTAGAATGCACCTAGCACATAATAAGCATTCAGTAGAAGCTGTTGCTATTATCCTAGGTCAAGTTGGCTGCCTTCATTAACATTAAGCTTTCCCCTTTTCTGCCGCCAAACCCCATACCAGCCAGCCCCATGAGGTGAGTAGTGGCAAGCCCTTTTGACAGATAGGGAAACGGAGGCCCAAGTCACACTGAAAGTCTGGGGCAGAGTTGGGACTGGGGCTCTCTGCCCTTTCCCAGCCACCTCTCCCACCCCAAGCCTCTCTGGATGCCACTCTGTGCCTCTGAACTGCATCCCATTCATGCTTATGTGGATAGAGCAGGATGGGTACGTCTGAGGGTAATAAGGGTAGGGGTGGGGAGTAGCAGGTCCTGGGAGAGTAGCTCAGGGACCATTAACAGCTCCTTCCCAACAGGCAAATCCCCGCAACGCCCTGGACACTGAAATGCTATAGAAATCCTTTTAGCATCACAGCTCCTGCACCCCACCCATCTCTGGTCAGCAGTACTCACAGATGTCACCTCCCGGACTTTGGGGACTTCTCTCCTTGGACGAATCCTGCTGCTCCATGGTCTCTTTGGGGTGCCGGTCCTCCATGGTGACTGAGACCCCTCTGGTCAAGAGAGGAGCACGCATGACAGAACAGTAAGTCAAGTGAAGTCGCTTATCTACAGCGAGTCTTAGAGGGCCCGCCAATCCTATGACCTTTGACAGGCTTGGCTTTGCCAGCCTTTGGCCGACCCCCCACGAGATAACATCTCCTTGAATTCTAACCTGATAGAGCAGCTCGCTAGAGAAGATGCAGTCCTCCCAGAAGATTCAACTACCCCGGTTTGTGACTCCCCTTAGAGCCTTCTCACTTGCGTGAGACCTCTGACCTATGCCTCCTACATCAAACTAACTCCCTGAACTCAGAGCGCGGGACCCTTGATCTTTGACACCAGCCTCATCCCCTTCTCTCCCACCTGTCTTGAGGCAGGTAGTGGTACCCACGCTTTAGCCTGCCTCCTTCCGGGAGACATCTTTCTCTGACATCCCGAAACTCTTATTGCACCTAGAACCCTCGCTTCCCACGCGCGCTTTCAGCCGCTGTGACCCGCTGCCCCAAACACTGCCCTCGGCTCCCTCCCGAGGCTGGTAGCCCAGGCCTCTGCTTTTCTCCAGACAGCAGAGGGCTGCCTTTCGTTGCGCCTGTCAGTTGCTCGTCACAGCGCCGTCACCCGAAGTGAAGCGGGGTAGGGCCCGCCGAGTCTCAAAGTCCCGGTGGTTTCCACGGCCTTTCGCCTGATGAGCCTTTCGAAGCCCAGATCTCGGGTTGCCATCCGACTGCAATGATTCAGTCGCGCCAACCCGGTCCTCAAAATAATGGGAGGGGTCCTTCTCTGCACTGGGGTGCGTAATGATGACGTTGCAAGCCTCCTTTGCAGTGCAGACCTAAGCTTATTGCGCAAGTGTGTTAGGCGCTCCTGACGCGCACGCGCTTTGGCTCCCTCATTGTTCAAGGTTCGGCGACCGCCGAAGAGAGAGTGCCCTTCGGCCGTTCTGCGCAGGCGCTGCAAAGGGCCCTGTCCCCGAGGTTAAGCTTTCGAGACACACCCCCTCCTAAAAGGAATGACGTCAGGTTAGAGCCCCCGGAAAGGGTCTGGACATCCCCAAATCCCGGCGCTTTAGCCTCATGGGCCTCCTTCCTCGAACCCCAGAGGCAGAGCTTCTCAGCGGCTGACCGACTGCTACCGACTGCGCAGTCCCGTGTGCCGGCTGTTTGCTCGGTCGGTGATTTGGAAGGGAGGAGTGAGGGATAAAAACATCTGTGTCCCTGAGGGAGGAGGGGGCTAGAGGGCTATTTCTGAGTTTCTGAAGCGTAAAGGGAAAGGCATCCAGAAAGAGGGCGGACAGGACTCCCAGGTCCCTGGGGAATAGGGCCTGGGCGCCAGATTTCTAGGTGCCTGTCAGTGATACCCGAGAAGGAAAGAAGTGGTCAGGGTAAAAGGCTGAAGTCTGAGACCAGAGTGGGGAAGCTACGAAAGAAAAAGGTTGGGTGCTCCGTGACCCGGGTCTTCCTCTCTCCCCACTTTCCAGCCATGCCTCCGCCGCGGGGTGACGTGACCGTCTTATTCCTGGGGCCTCCGGGCTCGGGTAAGTCTGCTGTGATCGCAGCGCTGTGTGACAAGGATGTGGAGACGGTAGAGATCCCCGACGGACGGCCGGATTCCGGGCTCCCCAGCCTGAGAGCTGCAGGCCCAGGCCTCTTCCTGGGCGAGCTGAGCTGCCCACCCGCAGCGCCGGGGCCCTGGGCGGCGGAAGCCAACGTGCTGGTATTGGTGCTGCCCGGCCCCGAAGGGAGTGAGGAACCCTTGGCCCCAGCGCTGGGGGAGGCAGCGCGGGCCGCCTTGGCCCGAGGAACACCCCTGCTGGCTGTGCGGAACCTTCGTCCCGAGGAGTCACAGAATGTAGCCCAGGCTCGGGATCAGACCGCAGCCCGGCTGGACAGCGCCGGGTTGGGCGCCGCGACTCTCTTTGTGCTACAGACCGACTGCCGCAGCAGCGACGGCTGCGAGGAGCTGGAGCGCCTGCGGGCGACGCTGCGGAGTCAGGCGGAGGCGCTGCAGAGGTGAGCGCGGCGTTTCAGGGTGGGTTGAAGAGGACTGGTGCTTTATTTAGTCTGTACCTCCCACCCCTAAGGTGCTCTTTGAGGTCTGCGAGACCCCGCCCTCAGCGAGTTTGGGGCCAGCCTTAACGGGATATCTGCTGAAAGCCCTGCTCCCTCGTCCAAATCCCGACCCTCAGCGCAGGTTTTGAGGTCCACGAGGTTCCACCTCAAACTAGCGCTCTGTGCTTGACCCTTTTCTATCATCTAGGCCAAGGGTCAGCTAGAAGTCTGGACCTGTCATTCCAGGTTCCGCCTCCTGCGAGCGCTCTGAGGTCCTGAGCCCCCGCTCCCTCGCGAGAATTCTAGGAGGGACCGGGACCTAGCGCCCAAACACTGCCCCCAGGCCAACGTGTGAACGAGGGCTCACTCTCTCCAGGCAAGCTGGTGGTCCCCGCGAAGCTTTTACCCGAAGACTCCACTCTCCAGTCTTAACCCTCTTGCTCACCATCTGCTTGGTTCTCAAGCGACCCCAGTCTCCGGAGAGCCACACCCTAAGCGAGCTTTGTCGTTTCGGGGGCCCTCCCCCACTTCCTTTTTCTAATCCCCTTTCGCTTCTGTGTCCACTTGCTGGCTACCTCGTGAATTTTCTCCCCCAACCCCAAGCGGCCTCCTTTTATAGACGTCAAAACGAGGCTCAGGGAGGGGCAGCCTCTTCCCCAGGCCCACCACTCGTCTTTCTTCCTTAGCCACACACCCTTGGTAAGAACTAGTAGATGAGGGTTCTCCCCTCACCTGTCTTTACAGCCCTCCTAACTCCTAGTCTCAGGAAGGAGCGCCCTTGGTGACCTTGCCCTTGTCGAATAGGGCTCGATTTTCGTTTAGTCCTCAATACAGTCGCCATTCTTTCTTTGCTCTAAACTCCACTCTCTATGAGTTTTGCCCCGCCCAGCAGGGCTTTTTCTTAATCCTGCAGGTCCCTCGGAAAGACCCGCTCCCGCAGAGTGTAACCCCGGGGAAGGCTTAGCCGGGTCCCCATTTTCGACTCTGTTGGCAACCTGATTTCTGATTTCAATCCAGCCGCCCCACCCCTTCTTTAAGCCCCTCCCTTTTCTTCATAGCCTCAGATTCTGTTTCTGTGCCATTAGTCTGGCCCCTCCCTTTCCTGATTATTCAGAAAGCTCCGCCTTGTCATCATAGCCCAGTCCTGTCCCCGTAGCCCAGCTCGCCAGCATTTAGCCCCTCTTCTGCCCTTGACCCCATCCCTCCCTTTCCCCGCAGGCTCCTGCCACCGGCTCAGGATGGCTTCGAGGTGCTGGGCGCTGCAGAGTTGGAGGCTGTGCGCGAGGCCTTCGAGACGGGTGGCCTGGAGGCGGCGCTGTCATGGGTTCGGGCCGGCCTGGAGCGACTGGGCAGCGCGCGCCTGGACCTGGCCGTGGCCGGTAGGGCTGACGTGAGCCTTGTGCTGAACATGCTACTCGGGTTAGATCCTGACGACCCAGGTGCGGTGCCTGCTTCGGCGCCCGCGGAGCCCATGCCCTACCCGGCCCCAGAGCGCCCCAATGTGGTGCTCTGGACCGTGCCTCTGGGCTCCGCGGGCACTGCTGCCGCCCCCCACCCAACCCACTACGACGCTCTCATCCTCGTCACCCCTGGGGCCCCCACTGAGAAGGACTGGGCCCAAGTCCGGCCCTTGGTGCTACCAGATACGCCGCTGGTCTGCGTGCGAACAGACGGCGAGGGCGAGGATCCGGAGTCCCTGGACGAAGAGGAAAAGAGCGGCGAGAGCTTAGAGAACGCAGGCGGAGGGGGGTTTGAGAATGCACGCAGTGAGGGGAGGGAGAAACGTGGCCCTGGATCGCAGAAAGCAGGCAGTGGGGAAGGTTCAGAGGACGCAGGCAGCGAGAGTTTGCAGCCGGTTGGCGTCGGCGTGAAGAAACCGGGCAGCGGGGACTCAGAGCGCGCGGCCGCACTGAGCCCAGAAGATGAGACGTGGGAGGTGCTGGAGGAGGCGCCGCCGCCGGTGTTCCCGCTGCGGCCGGGCGGCCTCCCGGGGCTGTGCGAGTGGCTGCGGCGTGCGCTACCCCCGGCCCAGGCCGGGGCGCTGCTTCTGGCTCTGCCACCCGCGTCTCCCCGCGCGGCCCGGACCAAGGCTGCGGCGCTGCGGGCCGGGGCGTGGCGGCCGGCCCTGTTGGCTAGCCTGGCGGCGGCGGCGGCCCCAGTACCGGGGCTGGGCTGGGCCTGCGACGTGGCGCTCCTGCGAGGTCAGCTGGCCGAGTGGCGGCGGGCGCTGGGGCTCGAACCCGCGGCGCTGGCACGACGCGAGCGCGCGCTGGGCCTGACGCCGGGGGAGCTGGCCGAGCGGACACGCTTCCCGGGTCCGGTGACGCGCGCCGAAGTGGAGGCGAGGCTGGGCTCGTGGGCGGGCGAGGGCACCGCCGGGGGCGCGGCGCTGGGCGCGCTCTCCTTCCTGTGGCCGGCGGGCGGCGCGGCGGCCACCGGGGGCCTGGGCTACCGCGCGGCGCACGGCGTCCTGCTGCAGGCGCTCGATGAGATGCGGGCCGACGCTGAAGCAGTGCTGGCACCGCAGGTGCCCGCGCAGTGAGGGGATGGGTTGAGGGCCGGGGCTTCCGGGGTGCCCCGTGTCCCGGCTGCTCGGCTTGGTCAGGGGTTGAGGACTGCAAGTTGCCGTAAGAGGGAGAGGGCGTGGTGATCCAGACTCTGGCATGCTAGTATGGGATGTCTGGGCTTGTGAGGTCACAGAGCTGGGGGCGGGGGGCGGGGGTGGGGTGGGGCGCGGGGGCCGCCACTCAGAATCCTGGGTGCTTGAAGGCGATGAGGGTCTGACCACCGATTGGAATGTGTGACTTCTCGTCACCAGGATTCCTGGGTCCTGAAGGGGAATAGAGTTCGGGGGACATGACTCCTGATTTCTCTGGGGGACCAGAGGGTGTGACCCTCAGACTCCTAGACTCCTGAACTCCTGAAGGGAGTTGAGGGTTTGGGACTCCTCTAAGGGGATATATCTTGGTCTCCAAAGAGTAGAAACTGGATCTATTAGGTGTCTAGTCCTCCACGGGGAGAGGAGGTGGAAGCCCTGATTCCTGATGAAGGGGGTCTGCATCACACCGGGGACTCTAGCATGGAGGAGGGGGTCTGGGTTCCCCAGGGAGCTGGAATCCTTGGGCTTCTGAGCCACAAAGGGGTATAAGGTCTGGGTTTCTGCGGGGTGGGGGGATAGGCCTGCATATAAAGGGGGCTTTGAATTTTCATTGGGGGGAGGAAGGATCTCTGGAGTCTCAGAACTCCTGTCTCCCAAGAGGGCTGTGGACCTTGGTTCCTAATTCATGGGTGGTGGAAGGTCTCCATCTAGAGGGGGGAATAGGGGGCTGTGTAAGAGAGCTGGAGACCTTTGGTTCCTCTTGGGGAATAGAGGGGTCTCTAAAAGTTGCTCCACCAGGGGCCTGGTGACCCAGATTTCTTTCCCAGTTGTTGTGGGGAGAATGGTACCACAAAAATGAGAGGAAATAAGCGTTCTGGGCATGGTGGGCTCTGGGGGGTAGCCAGGGACCGGGAATGAGGCCTTCTGGGTGTGGAAGGACAGAAACGCCTCCCTCAGAGGTATCTCCCCAAAGTCCCTAATGGGTTTGGATCCTGGTAACTAGCTGCCTTTCTCTGAGTTGGACTGGAAAGGGCTATGACAGCCCCCATTTTATAGGTGCTGAGCGACTGTGGGGCTCTCTGGGGAC